GGAGGCTCTACCAAAGCGGGAGAATTTAATATTCAACGTTCCAGAAGTCTTATCAATGTATTTATAAAATTTTCGAATTCAATTGGGATTTTAACAGACCAAGCACATATCTAAATAGACATCGAATTTGTTTTTATTTTTATTTATTTATTTTTTTGTTAAATAATAAGATTTCCCTTGAAAGGTTGTCATAGGGAATGGCTTATTTAATCGTTCACAAAAGCTATTTGCCTCTCAACAATATCTCTCCAAACCACAGAGACGACAATTTTTTGTTCTCGAGCGACTTCCATGGGGAATTTCCGTACCAATGTGTGTATTATTGTCCGAAAAGTACCCCAAAATATTGTGTGGAACGTTCGAAAGCATATTCAAATCGTTGAGAAGTAGTAACATGGTGCTTAATTCTTGGCCGCAGTACTTGAGACGCAGACGAGGGGACATTGTTTATCTCTTATGAAGTAATATAACGGTCAGTGGTAGGCTATGCGGCGACTGTGTGGTTTGCGAATTTATGTAATACGCAATGGAAGAACACTTTAACCTGTCAGAAACTCGCACTAAGAATTGGAATAAGGTGTCTCCTCATGGTACAACACATATCTGACAATCGACAGCACCAAATGTAGTGAATGCAGTACCAGCTTGAGTATATAGGCGGTTATCGTGTTAGACAAAGAAAAGGTAAGATCAGGGCGATGAAACCGTCTCAACTCTTATTGACCATGATTTAATGTTTCTATATCCAACATATTGTACATATTAATCCTACGATCAATAACCTGGTACAATTATACCGTTTTTGATTAAAAATACTGTAAAATTTTCAATATTGGAGATATAATTTGAGGAATCATTCTGGAAGTGTCTTTATTCGTAATTGATGAAAATATTATAAATATTTACCATAAATATAATTTTAATAAATCATATTCGCCCTGATGACCCTGTTGTCTAGGGCTATAAAAATTGCAGATGGTTTGGGAAACACCCAATTTTTTCCTATAATTAATAAATAAATATGTCTGAAAAATCATAATCTAAAAAGTATTCGAATTTTCTTAGTGTTCGTAGATATAAGGTTCCTGTCAGTCGTAACATCGCCCAGGAGCTACAAATCTACCATAAAACTGTTTTAAACCATTTACACAAATCTGGATTCAAGAATAGATCGATGTTTGGATGCCACACCAATTAACAGAAAAAATAGGATGGATCGAATTTCCATCTGCGAAGCCTTGGCCAAACGGAAATGAGAAATGGATCACATACGATAACCCTGTGCAAAAAGGATCGTGGTCAAAGAGCGGTGAAGAATCTCAAACGTTGGCCAAGCCAGGATTTACGGCCAGGAAGGTTTTGCTATGCACTTGGTGGGACTAGAAGGAGATTATTTATTATGAGTTGCCTCCATATGCCCAAACGCTAAATTCTGATCTCTACTGTCAAAAACTGGATCGTTTGAAGATGAAGCAATTGCCCAGAATTGGCCAACAGGAGAGGTGTCGTGTTCCACCAGGACAACGCTAGGCAAAACACATCTGCATTGACTCGCCAGGAATTTCCGGAGCTTGGTTGGAAAGTTTTAATGCATCCGCCACAAAGTCCGGACTTGGCATCAAGCGATTATCATTGCAAAATTTCTTTAATGATAAAAATTTGGTATCTAGAGAGGATTGTGAAAATCGACTACTAGATTTGTTTGCAAATAGAGAGCAGAACTTCTATGTGAGAGGTATTATGAAGTTAACTTTAAAATGGCAACGAATGATATAACAAAACCGTGCATATTTGGCCCAAATCGGACATTCCGAAGCATGTTAAATAAAGTCCTATAGTTCATTTTCAGTGCATAATCGATTGGGTTCTTCTCAATGGCGCTTGAAACTGGATTATGTCATACAAATGACTTTAGTTGTGAGAAATGACAGAGTTTCTTACCAAGATAAAAAAAAATCGATTCAAAATGGGACACTTGCACCTAATTCTAAATAAAAACGACATGTGTTCGTCGATTTCCATTACTAATGTCTCATTTTGTTCGTAGGTTATTTTGCTTTTCGCAGAAGTTATAGTAAGTTATAACCAATGAAGCCCATCAGTATACTTTAAAGTAGCTGCCTACTCACACGCATTGTTATGCTCTTTCAATCAGTCGTTGTTTGACAGGCAACGAATGAACACATGATGGGGTGCGCGCACGACGTTGTGTCCGCACAACTAGAAAATCAACGAAATAACACTTAGGGATAAAAGTGTTTCAGTATATTTGGATTTTTATTTTATTATTCAAAATGCGTTTTGTATGTTTAAAAATTTTTAAAAACAACAGAACAATTGCTGTTTTTTTGAAAGAATTAAATATTTGATAATTATCGTAGTATTTAATATTAATATTTAGTATTACAATATGATTATTATTTCGGTATATGCTACTTTATAATCTATATTAGATTTTTGTGACATATACAATTTGTAATTCATATAAAAACAATTTTAATAATGATTTTAATTTATATAATAACAAAAATTTAATTCTTCAATAATTTTTCCGACCACCAAAATGTACACACAATTTTGTTCGGTACTGTTCTGTTTTCTCTCACACATACTAACGCATTTTAATTTTGGGCACCTATGGTTATAACTTTGGGTCGAAGGTCACTCTTGGACCAAAGGTGTCGGATAAGGCAGGGTTTTTTGAAATCCTAATTAGAATGGCAAGAAAAGTACTAAAAAGTACTAAATGTGGTACCATTTGTATTTTGCGAAGCGCTGGAACCAGAACTCTGATAGAGGGTCATTGATGGAGTGTAGGGCAGATTTATCAAATGTTTTTTTTTTATAATTCGAACTCTAAGTTTACGAAACGTCTTAAAATGCACTAAATTTATTACAAATTCATAGCATCTGAACAGGTAGGGTAAAAGCTTAAAATTTGAAATGCGAATCAAAATTGAGGAGTAGAGTCGATATTAGGAGGTGGTTTTAGAAGTATGGTATAATTTGAATATGGAAGAACGCATGAAGTTGGAATCCTGATATTTGAATCTAATATTACCGTCGGAGTGTATGATTGATATGTTGGTAGTTTTGGAAATGTGTACTTATGAGTACGAAAAGTACTAAATGGCACTATATTTTTGGTAGAATTTAGATTTGGGTGAACCGATAGAGCTGGAATACTGAAAATTGGTAATAAGATTTCTATTGCATTGTAGAATTGATGTATGTTGGTAGTTTGGGAAATTCGTACTGATGTGTACTAAATTTGGTACACTTTGGATGAACCAACAGAGATGGAATCATGAAATTTGGTGTTTGATTCACTGTTGTGATGTAGGATTAAGGTACGTAGGAAGTTTAGGAAATGTTTACTAATGTGTACTACAGGGTTGCCCATATTCGACGGACCCATCTGGCAACGCCATAACTTTTGACAGAGATGCCACATCGCTTAGTGACATACCGCGTTTGAAGCGTCAGTCCAAGCAGATTTTTACCATGAACCAATACACAACACGTGAGCTCTCTGAAATAATTGAAATTTTCATTCAGCAGAAGAAGTCAACGTGCTTTTAAAACATTAAAAAATGTGAGAAGTGCGCCTTCTAAGAACACCATTAAGGGTTTATACGAAAATTTTCGACGGGTAAGGATCTTTCTAATCCGAAGAGGCCATATAAAAGTCGACCAAGGCGATCGGCCAGGAACATCCCAAAAGCACCGTTCTCAGCAGTTGGGCATGGCTCCGTCCACTTTACAACGGATTATTCGCATTGATTTGCATTTGTTCCCGTACAAAATTCAATTGACGCAAAGAATGTTGCCTGCGGACAATCCTCGTCGATTGGAATGTGTCCAAAGAGTCATCGAAATGGCCGAAGATGACGAGCAATTTTGGAACAAAATTATCATGTCCGATGAAGCCCATTTCACATTGAATGGGACCGTAAATAAGCAAAATTGCCGTTTTTACGCTACTGAAAATCCTCAGGAGATTCAGGAGTGCCTCTTCATGACGAAAAAGTCACAGTTTGTTGCGGTGTTAGTGCGAAAACGGTCATTGGGCCGGTTTCCTTCCAAAATGAAAATGGCCATGCTGTTACCATCAATCAGGAGCGTTATCGCGACATGATGACCAATTTTGTGATGCCAATTATTCGTCGAAAGCGTATGAGGCAGTTCTGATTTCAACAAGACGGCGCTCCACCGCACACAAGTCATATAACAATCGATTTTCCGAAGAATGTGTTTCCGGGTCGTTTAATGTCGATGGTGATTTGGACTGGCCACCGTGTTCGCCCGATTTGACGCCGCCTGACTTCTTCTTGTGGGGATATTTGAAGTCAAAGGTTTACGTTAACAAGCCAAGGACCGTAGGAGAGCTCAAGGACAACATTCGTGAAGAAATAGCCGCTATCCCGGCCGAAATGTTGGCAAAAACGATCGAAAATGCAGCAAAAAGGGCACAAAACGTCATCAACGCCAGAGGCGGCCATTTGAGAGATACCATATTCAAAAATTGATGTAAACAAATCTACTTGGAACAAATTAAATGATTAACATTGCCAACCGCCAAATTTTTATTTTTTTTTTCTTTGATTAAAAAAAAACATGGGTCCGTCGAATATGGGCAACACTGTAAATGACACTAAATATGGTACAATTTTGATTTGTAGTGAACCGATAGAGCTGGAATCCTGAAATTGGGTAATAAGATGTCCAATGGATTGCGTAATGTTGGTAGTTATTGAAATTTATAATTATGTATACTAAATTTGATTATGTGAACAACTTGGATTATGTGAACCGATAGACCTGGAGTTCGAAGTTCGCTTATATTTGCGAGTTTCTTCAAACTATTTCAACATAATTACCATTTTTATAATTTTACGTTTTTCCCAAATTTTAGTATACTCCCATCGTTTTGTTCGCCAAAAAATCGATAGAACGAAAAATAACAAAACGATAAAGTAGACAACATTGTATTTACTTACCTTGTCCTTTGAACCAGGTAATCGTCGGTATCGGATATCCTTCTGCCTCGCAGTTTATTGATATTGTATTGCCAAGCATTATGGCCGTATCCATTGGTTCGAAAGACCAGCGTGGTGCAACTAAACGTGATCAAATAAAATAAGACAATATTTAAGTATATCAGTGACTAGGTACAAGTATATATGTATTTCCGAGTAAAGTAAACGGTATTGGTATAAGTAAATATGTATTGAAGGGTATATTGAAACTAGTCGATACATGAAACACAAAAAAAAAAACAATGTAGTAGTGTATCAAATTAACGGAAAAAAGAAACTAAGGAAATCCTACTCGTTTTCTTTCTGCCAAAAGAAGTAGTATTAGTTTAAGGATCAAAGGATACTGACAGATGGGGATGTTAAAAAATATTCGCTTTTTGGGGATTAAAGACATTAAGGGATGTATTTAATAAAAAAATAAGTCTTTTGGGGATTAGGTTTTCGTATATTAGAGTTGTCAAGGTGTTTTTGTTATTCTCGTTTCATTTCAGGTGAACTGAAAATCTGTATTCGAAGTAAATCCGTTGTGATATATTTTACGGCATTTTATAAAGTATATAAAGCACTTTGAGAAAAAAACATTTCTTGGCAAATTAAAACAATATAATGCAAAATATATGTTTTTCTTTTGCATGAATAAATAATGTTGTTCAATGTATTCCAAGTAATTTATAAATGCAGTTTGACATATGAAATGAAAAAGTAATAAATTGCTATTATGACGTTTTTCAATAAAATTTCATATGAAATGAATAAAGATTGAATTCCTAGTATTCAATATGAGTTTTTTTTTTAATTGGATCATTTTTATGTAAAACCAGTGAGCGGAGCAGTATAGTCGGACGGAGCCGACCATATGATACCCTACAAAACTTCCACGAAAATCTAACTTTCTGTGGTTATATATTCTGAGCATGGAAAATATTTCGCTATATTTGCACAATCTTCACCGACTAGAGGTCAACAAATATTACTAACATTCAGTAAATCCCTTCCAATTACTTGTCCAGATTCCCTTCACCGTGGGTTGTGTTATGATGTTCGACTTTCAATTATGGCCTATATATTGACTAAAAAAACACAAAAAATTAAGTTTTCGGTCCACCTCATCCCAATATTATTATCGGATCATCACCGACAATTGTAGGCGTTATCCTTGACCATTCCTGGATCCTCATGGAAAATTTCAAAGCGATCAGAGCTATATTCTATTCTTCTAGTGTGGTAATGGTAAATAATATATCAGTACGTAAGCACCTGTAAATATTTAAGTGTAACTCCCACATCTGAGTACATACGACAATATAATTGGTATAAATTTAAAGGTCAACCACTCCTCTTGGATATACTATCAACTTCTCGGCTCTATGTCATTCAGGAGTAAATATAAACGATATAGAATACAAATTTTGTAATTTTTCACATAAAAGTTAGGGTCCATTTGACCCACTAAGTATTGATCGATCTTTATCAAAACAAGCATGCTTATTCTTTGGCCCTATCCCCTTCTCCATGTAGAAATTCGCGGTGTTTGGGCCATAATTGCGGCCTCGGACAATCGGACAAAATTTAGTTTTTGGTCCATTTCATCCCCTAGATATTAACCGATCTTTACCAAAAACAATAGGGGTCTTCATTGGGCAGAACCCATCCTACGTGCAAAATTTCATGAAGATTGGTCCATAACTGCGGCCTGTATCGTGTTTACAAATTATAATGGAGAGATATAACGATCGGTATACTTAAAGGTGGGTCTAGGACCAATATTTCGCGGCGTTACAAACTCTTGCGGCTGCACAAAGCTATAATACCCTGACAACATAGTTGTGTAGGGTATAAAAAGTATAAATGAATGTATTTTATAATCGGCATTTTGAGCAGTTTTAGATACTACACCTCATTAGATAAAGAGACTTACCTTTGCCATTTTCTGAATTTTTTTTTTATAAATTCCATAAATGTTTCATAAGAAAAGTGAAAAGTCGTAAAGTTCGGCGGGAAGAACTTTTTAAACCCACTGATGTGTCTTCAAAATTTCATTAAGTCGATTCTCCACACATGAATTTGTACCCTTATATGAGGGCCACTGGAAACTTGAGTCAATATTTATAATTTTTGGTAGGCAGATTTTTTATCTAATGAAAATGTATCAATTTAGAGCCAATTTGGCAAAACAAAATATTAAATAGCTTCCAAATTGGTTAAAGCTCAAGCTGCCCACAATACAGATTTTTGGGATGAAGAATTTCCCTAAAAGGTGGACCAATATTGATTATTTTTAGTACGAAGATTTACTATCATACCACAACCCATAATAAAAAATTACCGTCCATTAAATTGATCCATGCACACAAATATACCAAATGCGTCGAGTAATGGCGAATACTGTTATATGGAGGCTACCCTAAAAAGTGGATCAATATTCAGTTTAAAAACATGAAAAAAAACTCATAAAGCAGAATATTTAGAGATACCTTTATATGGGGGTTATATCAAAACGTGGACCGATATACCCCATTTGCAATACCAACCACCATAGGCATAATAGCAATGAACGTTCAAAGCTATCTCAAATATTGCCATCTCTACGCGCAGAAATCGAAATATAATTTTATTCTGAGGTTTGACCATTTATAACTCCGGAATTATTAAAGTATATGAAAAAAATTTAATAGGGTTGGATTTATTGATCTGTCGTTGCAAACTTTTCGTGATATTGTCCTACAAAGTTTATTTTTGTGGAAGCTGTGTCTACTATAATAAAAACCAGTAAGGAAAGTAGTAAAGTCGGACGGGGCCGACTATATGATACCCTTCACCACTATGGGTATATTAAACAGGACTATTAACATGAAATTGGATGAAATAAAATATGTGATATTTATCTAAATGTGAATCTACCTAGATCTATCCATAAAGTATGTAAATCGACTTCAAACAAATATAAATAGGTCATCTGTTGGGCTATGTCTGTCAAATTTCGTGCAAATCGAAAGATATATAAAGCGACTTTGGTCCACCATTTACATGAAATCGGACGAAACTATATGGGAGCTATATAGAAATCTAGACCGATTTTCACGAAACTTGGCAGACATAATTCTAGGCTCAATTAAGTACGTTATGCCAAATTTCGTGCAAATCGAAGGATATATAGGGACTTTGGAGCACCATTTACACGAAATCGGACGAAACTATATATGGGAGCTATATCTAAATCTGACCGATTTTCACGAAACTTGGCAGACATCATTCTAGACCTAATTGATTAGGCTGTACCAAATTTCGTGCAAATCGAAAGATATATAGCGACTTTGGTCCACCATTTACATGAAATCGGACGAAACTATATATGGGAGCTATATCTAAATCTGGACCGATTTTCTCGAAACTTGGCAGACATCATTCAAGGCTCAATTCAGTACGTTATGCCAAATTTCGTGCAAATCGAAAGATATATAGGGACTTTGGGGCACCATTTACATGAAATCGGACGAAACTATACATGGGAGCTATATCTAAATCTGGACCGATTTTTTCGAAACTTGGCAGACATAATTCTATGCTCAATTCAGTACGTTATGCCAAATTTCGTGCAAATCGAAAGATATATAGGGATTTTGGAGCACCATTTACCTGAAATCGGACGAAACTATATATGGGAGCTATATCTAAATCTGGACCGATTTTCACGAAACTTGGCAGACATCATTCTAGACCTAATTGATTAGCCTGTACCAAATTTCGTGCAAATCGAAAGATATATAGGGACCGTTTACATTAAATCGGTTAAATATATATATGGGAGCTATATCTAAATCTGAACCGATTTTTCCCAATTTCAATAGGGTTCGTCCTTGGGCCGAATAAGTGACCTATGCCAAATTTCATCTAAATCGGATTATAAATGCGACCTGTACTTTGTTTACAATTTAACACCAACAGACGGACAGACGGACAGACGGACGGACGGACGGACATGCATAAATCGACTTAAAAAGTGATTCTATGCATATTCTCAAAAGGAACCATGGGTCTATCTCGTTTCCTTTCGCCTGTTACAAACATATGCACAAAGACATAATACCCTGTACCACAGTGTGGTGAAGGGTATAAAAATAATGGGTAAAAACAGGGGGAGGCAACTCAGGTTTTTAATGTTTTTTTTTTTCCTCGATTTGTGGGTTAGCCATTAATTTCACGGCCTTCGTGCAAAGTAAAAGTGGAAGCGTACACAATGAGATGTACGTCCCTTATGTATCATTTTTCGACTAGTAATCTGCATCTACCTTTAAGGGAACCCCCCCCCCCCCCCAACACGAGTTTAATTTTTCAAGATTTTCAATGGGCTGGTAAAACAATGCCAATGCTTGTTAAGGTTTGTAACGTTGCACATATATAATTGAAGATTTAAAAGAGAAGAAAAATAATTTACAAAATTTTTTTGTTATTGTTTTGTTTTTGTTTTTTGTAATTAAAGAAAAGTCCTTATTCTTGATGGCGGGCATGATAACTCCTCATTGGAACATCGGAATCCGAAAATTCCACCGGTGTTAGGAAGAGTACATGTCTGGCTCTCGTATGAACTAGGATTATTGACTTCGCTCTAAAATTAACAAAATGGCGGACCTTTGAAAAAATATTTTTGCAAAATCGCCGATTTTTTACCAAAAAACAATAAGGAAGATCTTCACCGATTGGCTTTATCCTACATCATACGATAGCTATACACTCACAGAGAAATGTGTAAAAATTTGGAATCGATTGGGTTATTAGTTTTTGAGTTATAGTGCCCTCCATTCGCAAAAAAATGTTTAGAGAATAACGCGTTTATAGTTTGAGAGGCCTTCAGCCGTCACTTGATGCTGACATAATAAACCGGCTATATCTTTAAGAGTTCTTGAGATTTTCACTTCAAGTTTTGTAGGGTTATTCTTTAATTCGAATCTACACTTATTCAAGGATGTCCTTACAAAATTTTAAGATACGGATTTTGAATTTTTGTTAAAACAGAATTTTAAAAACATCAAATTTGTTGATATTAATTTTTTTTTAATAATTTTTAATTTTTTTTTATTTAA